TCTGGTCATATTTCTTTTATAAATGATACATAATGGTCTATGAAGGCTGGAAGTGAAAAACGCCTGATATTCAGGTGTGCATAATTATTAAGCAGGTTTTCTTTTACAGATAAAATGAGACAAAAAGAGATTTAACTCAAACTGAAAAGTGAAAAATTATTAAATGGCCATGAGAAGGATGCAATACTAATGCAATACTAGAAATTGCACAGTTAAGGCATGACCATTGGAGAGCGAAATGCTCATTGGGTCAGAAAAAAAACTGCTGGAGAAGAAGAGACATTAACTGCAAAAGAATATACGCCTGAATATCAGGCGTTTTTCACTTCCATCTTTTATAGACAATTATATATCATTTATAAATGATTAAACACAGAATGAATAGTAGTTATTTAGATTGATGTGGCATGGAATTGGTAAAATGTGCTTGGAAAAAAAATATGTCTCAGAATATCAACTTGCATAATCTTATGCAGGCACGGTGTATATATATATACACACACACACACACACACACAGTATAGACACATTTTATACAGTTTAAAGTAGGCCTGTAAATACTTACATAATTAGTAAGTACAGTTAGAAGCAGAGATATTTAACACACACTGTACTTTTTGTTATTCTAACACATTGTCTGATGAATTTTCACTGTGCCCCTAAAGTTTTTTTAATGTGCTCCTACATATTTCAACTTAGGAGCACATGTAGGAGAAAAGTAAGGGTTAATTATTTTCTTTACCTCTGTGAATAATCTGGTGCTTTTCTCGAAGGTAAGCGAGTCCTCTTAAAACCTGTTTGAAGAAAAAAGACAAGAAAAATAAAATTTTAAATCTGAAAAAGGTGTAAATGTTGTTCCAAAACTATACGAGTTGCTTTTTTTCTGTGGATTCAACTTTCATATAATGACCAAACTGCTCGTTTTCCATACAATAAGAGCAAGAATGACATTTGAGAGTTTAGGCGGAGATTTTTTTTTTTCATTCACCTTCACATTTGGAAAATGAGCAGCATGAACATTGTGCTAAACTTCACCTTTTGTCCTTTACAGATGAAAGTAAGTCAGGGTTGGGAGGAATTATTCTTATATAAAAAAAGAAAAGATAAAGCAGTCAAAGACATCAGATCATAATGAGCTTTCTGAGCTAATAAGCACACGTTAGAGTAATGCACCCATACCACTTATTACAATACCAAAACTTTACTTTTTTAAAAACTTTCCAATGATTACCGACACCTGTATTTTCATTGCATTTGTAATTTGTAAACATATTGGGTGGAGAAACCAAAAGAATACCAATCATATTCTTTTAGTAAATAGATGTTTCCTTTAGTCATTTTCACATTTAATTACGCCTGTTAAAAAGTATTGTACAAGCTTCTGTTACTTTCACTGTTAATTCTATTGCTCTATTGTATTTTATCTTTCATTTAACGGCAGATCCCACATTTAGAGCTGCACAGTAATTACATGACGTTTTATTTACAATGTAGGGAACCACATAACTCATGCAACAGCTAATGTTTTTACTTACATTTACAATGTAGTATCAGCATGCCTAGCACCCATCGATTAAAACATTCTGAAGTTGCGGTTTCACAACTGAATTATTCGCGTAAACACACTCACGGCTATGCTGACTTTTCCCAAGATCTCCTCTGGAATTCTGCGAGCCTCTTTCAGAACCTGATCCAAAGAGCCTCCATCCTGACAACAAGGAGAAACACACAAAACACTTACCGGACACAGTAAGTAACCACAATTTTTGCCATTTAAAATAACTGTTCTCTATGTGAATCTCTGTTAAACTGTAATTTATTTCTGTGATCAAAGCTGTATTTTCAGCATCATTACTCCAGTCTTCAGTGTCACATGATCTTCAGAAATCAGTATAATATGCTGATTTGCTGCTCAAGAAACATTTCTGATTATTATTATTAATATTTAAAACAGTTGACTACATTTTTTTTTAGGATTCTTTGATGAAGAGAAAGATCCAAAGATCAGCATTTATCTGAAATAAATAGCTTTTGTCACATTATACACTCTACCATTCAAAAGCTTGGCGTCAGTATAAATTTTTTTTTTGTGGGGGAGAAATTATAAAAATTAATACTTTTATTTAGCAAGAATGCTTTAAATTGATCAAAAGTGATGATAAAGACATTTATAATGTTACAAAATATTTCCA